TTTATTTCAGGCTGTAAGGCTTTGAGCAGAAGATCCAGCTAAAATGCGCCAGACTCTTTATCCATGAAAACTACAAAATAACAAATTTTAGTTTTGTAATAATTTGTTACACAGCAATAGGAAATGGATACAGTCCCCTACAGTTGGATGTATGTATGCCTGCTCCCAGGGATATTCCCAGCAGAAAGGCAGGTACAGTCATGCACCACATAATGATGTTTTGGTCAATGACTGACCACACATATGGCCCAGTAAGATTAGTACCATATATTCTAGGTGTGTAGTAGGCTATACCAGCTAGGTTTGTGCAAGTACACTCTATGATGCTTGCACAATGATGAAGTCACCTAACGACACATTTCTTAAAACATATCCCTGTCCTTCGTGATGCACGACTGTATGTGTTCACCAAAATACACATACTGCAATGGCCATAGAAGCAGTACTTATAATAGCCTAAAACCAAAAACTACCCAAGTGGCAAAATGGGGACTTACGGGATGCTGATAATATTTCATTTCTTGATTGGGTGCTGGTTACATGTGTGCCCAGTTTAGAAAATTTATTAAGCTGTGCTCTTTCCTAAATTATACTATACTTAAATAAAATTAACATGGCCAGAAATTTACTCTTTCGTTACATAACAGCACAATTATTACTAGATTAAAATTTTTTTTTAGTTATCACACATATAAAAGTGGTCACATGATTTTACTTGTGTAATCATTCTAGCCTCAGCCCTACCAGAATACAAAACAAAACATACCTCAGCAAAAAAAAAAACAAACACCTAATTGTCAGTTCGGATTTTTAGCTTAATTCTTACTTGATTTTTGCTCAACCCTCAATACATTGCTTTAATAAATTTTTGTTTGTTTTTTAAAGGAATTAAAATTAGTAATATATTGAGAATTTTTTTTTTTTTTGAGGAAGATTAGCCCTGAGCTAACATCCACTGCCAATCCTCCTCTTTTTGCTGAGAAAGACTGGCTCTGAGCTAGCATCCGTGCCCATCTTCCTCTACTTTCTACGTGGGATGCCTGCCACAGCATGGCTTGCCAAGCGATGCCATGTCCGCACCCGGGATCCAAACTGGCGAATCCTGGGCTGCCAAAGTGGAACGTGCGAACTGAACAGCTGCGCCACAGGGCCAGCCCTGTAATATATTGAGACTTTTAAGGCACTCTTTGGAACAATACCTTTGTTATTCTTGTAAACTCACTCACGCTCCTGGACAGGTGTATCTTCTCTGGAACAGTCATCTTTGGGCCAGGTCATGATAAAATAGCAAACTTTAATCTCAACATGCCTTTCTGAAGGTAAAGTTATAGGTGTGTTTACTCCATTTTAGAGAGGAAGTATAGTTGTTTGTTCCTGATCTTGTAAGAGTTACACAAAATAATGAACATATATTCATTTAAAAACCTAATATACAGGACACCATGCTAAATACAGGGCTATAAAAAGACGTAGTATATTGTTTCTCTTCTCGGAAAACTTATGTCGACCAGAAGAAGTACATACTCATACATGTTAGTTAACGACACAGGCTCATATGTTAATACCAAATAAGCGTTTGATATAGAAAAAAGTAAAAAGAAAGAAAATAAGTATGGGAACTCTAAAATGGTGTCCCAAGGGCACAATTCTTGGCAGTTAGGGAGGGTCTCCTGGAGGTAGCATAAGAGAAAGACAAAATTATTTTCAGTAAAGCAAATTTGGTTTTAAATCTGAATTTCTTCACTTTCCAGATATGAGCAGTTACTTAACTCTTTGGAGCTTTAAGTTTTTCATCTGAGAATTAGAGTTGGTGACAATAATTTCTACCTCACAGGTTTGTGAGGTTAGACGAGATAACTTGGTAAAACATCAGATTCCTCTAGTCTGCACAGCTGGCCCTTCTTCTGGATGAATAATTACCGAGAATCTCTGGTGTCCGACACTGGGCATCAGAGAAGATGGCACAGCAGGGAGTTGGGGTGTATACTAAGTGTAGAGAGAGGGAGGAGAAGGAGGTATTGGGGGTTTTAAATGAAAAATAAATAACAACTGTTGACAAAGGTACAGTATAGCATGATGTAAACAAGATAAGACAGTGTTTGGGAAACCTGGAGCAATAAAATAAAACTAAGGAAATTTCTTTACAGGCTGGCAAACTCAGTAATATGTTGGCTATGATGAAGAAACCAGAAATATAGAAGATATCATCCCTGAATATTTACTTTTTAAGTGGAAATACTATACTTACGCCCATATTTACTTAAGTATGAAATGACTAGATGACAAGTGATGGAACATACAGGCTTACGTCATGTAGGTTTTACTTTTTCGTCCCACAGGAATTTGGAGAAGGGAAAGCTCTTTGTGGTCTATAGCATGGGAAGGTTTGCGGCTCAGTCTTGAAGGATGGGTGGGACGTGGATCCAAGGGAGGAAAAGATGGTTTATTCTAAACAGGTGTAGCATCAGGCAAAGACTCATCATACAGAAGTATCACCATAGACTGATTTTTACTTAAATATGTATCAGAGCAAAAATCATTTGGATAAGAGATACTATTCCTGAGGGGTTGTGGAGAGGTAGGGAGAGAGGAGACAAGGTCACAGCCCATTTCTCTTAAGTAGGAATTGCAGGTTTGAGGCTGTGATGCAAAACCAGTGGGCTTCTCTCCAAGAAAGAGTGGGGGAGAAAGAGGCTTAAGTATCTGATTTCACCCCAAAGCATGAATTCTCTGAGATTTTTAAGGTAAGTGTATTAAGATGATTCAGCTTCACTTATGATGAGATTGTCTCTACATCTCCTCGCTCAAATCCCATCACCAAACTGTAAATCTCCCATTAAGCTGTTTACCTCTATACAAAAAAAACCCCCACAAAAACCCTGTTGGAGAATTAATAAGTTAAGCTATTATGAGTCTCAGCTATACCTAGATTTGATTAAGTTTCTAAGACCAATCCTAAGGGCATATCTTCAAAAAACAAGATAAAGAGGAGACAGCAGTGTCTACCTGCATATGATGGCAATGTCTGCCTACGCTATGAAAAGGTGCATGGCAGGAGGAGAGAGTGACAGGTATTTCTGCACCAATTGCAGCCCTTTTACACTCAAGACCTAAAGAGCCTGATGATGGCACATCCCTTTTCAGCAGATCCCAAAGCCCAACATATGCTGTAGAGCACTTAGCTTGGTTTGGTAAGTACTAAGGGGTAAAGAGCACGAGTTTCTCTCTGAAAGATCTGCATTTAAATCCTTGGCTGTTTTTGTCTTGGACCCTTACCTAAGCCGATTTCCCTATCAGTACCATAGGCTTAATAATAATAGTAGCTTCCTCAGAGTTGTTGAGAATATTAAATAAGAATGCATGTAAGTACTCCAGTACATAAGGGTGCCATATAACTGTCAGTTAACAAGAATCAATATTATATTTACGGGTCCTGGGTTGAGGGGTAGGGTGGGAAGGATGGAGGGTCTGCTTGTTTATTGTGTTGGCGGCACTCTTGAAACAGCCCCCAGACTCCGGGCCAGAACGACAGCGGGCTGCTCCCTCGGCTGCCTCTTCTCTCCCCTGCTCCACCCACGCTTCCCGGGAGCAACAAGTTCCCTTCTGCCAGACCCGCCCGCGCGCCACTGTCAGACCCGGCGCCTCTTCCCAGACCTCCGGCAAACTCGCTGTCAAACCCACCTGGGGTAGAAATCCAGGCTGCCAACGCCCTACCCAGGCGGGAGAGCCCGCAGCGTGCGGAGGAGCCCTCGCGGCGGCTGGGGAGGGAGGCGGGCGGAGTGGGAAGTCGGGACAGAAGGGATTGACAGGACTCCCGGTTCGCGCTGCCCTTGAGAGGCAAAAGCAACAACCGCAAGCACCCGCCGCTCATCTGAAGCCTCTCTCCTGGGGTCAAGAGGGAAGAGATGCGGCCCGGAATCCCACAGACCTCCACCTGGCCCTCTGGTTGCCAATTGCATCTCTACTCCAGGTTGCCCTCGCCTGGGTTTCTCCTTACACCTTCGCTCCACCCCTCGCCAGGTCCCCTAAGGATACTTGAGATCCCTGACAAGATTATTTTGCAGGAAAAGCAAGTAGGTCAGCCATGGTCCCCAGCCCATGTTTTCGTCTCCCTTGCCCTCCCAGAATGAGTACCCTGGAGTCTCCAAAGGAGTTCCTAGGCGTCCGAGGCTGGGAGCCTCAACCAGCTGCCCAAACCGTTAAACTCTGACAACTTCTTGGAAGGGGGATCCCCGCGTCCTGGTAGGAAAGCCAAACTGGCCGCCCACATGCCAGGAGAGACACTTCGACTTTTCCGTAGGGAACTCCCCCCGAAATCCACCTCTCCAGCTGCAGCAGCTGTGAGTCGAGAACTAGGGAGCTAACTAGGAGTACGCTTCGGGGGTGGGCGGTCGTGGGCGGGGGCGAGGGCGAGAAGTTCTTCCTGATTTTGGAAAGAAAAACCAGTTCATGTCTCTAAGTCTCCCGGAGCTAGGGAGCTGTTATCCCTGGAAAAGAGCAGGGACCGAAGTCCCTGGGAGGGAAGTCCTTCTGGAGCGGGTCCGAAAAGCACGGAGGTGAATTGCAACGTCCAAGCTTCTAGCCCTGTCCGTCGGGAACTACTCTCTCTCCGGGAGAAGGGGGCGGGGGATACATCCCTGCCAAGAGAGTTAACGCCAAGCCCGAGCTGTTCATCACTTCACCCCTCCATCCCCAGGCAGCCTTGACAACTTGGTACCTCGGACAGCATCCCGGGCGCAAGGCATTGTTTGAAAGCTGTTATCCTGTTTTTGCCACCAAGTCAAAGAGCAATAAATTATTTTAATGACCTTACTAGTACAATTTGAAGGACATTTTAATTACATAACCCGTGAAAGATCACCGGAGGCAATGTCGTGTCGAAGAGCCGATGGCAGAATATCTGCATCGCAGGAGAAAGAGAGAAAACTTGCAAGTCTGCAATGAGATTGCGCAGGGCTGTCCCCGTTTAGAAACAACATGCGAAATGCAAAAGCTCTTACCTTTCGGACTCCAAAGCCGTATTCTGCTGCAACTTGGCGAGCTTCTTCCTCCCCTCCTTTATGCAACTCCACAAGAAAATGATTCGTAAAGACCGGTCTCTCGGCAGATGCAAAAACCATGACACAGAAGAGGAGCCCGGCGGCCGCCTTCCACTGGGACACACAGCCACCTTTCATCATTCTTTGGGAGTGCAAAGTGGTGCTAGGAGGCGCGCAGGCGGACAGAGCAGGAGACCCGGAGGGAAGGTGCAAACAAAAAATATATATATAGTTTTTGTCTGTTTGTTTGTTTTTTAAAAAAATCTTTATGTAGAGAAACAGGCTGATTAGGGGCTTGGAAAGCAGCAAATCAATGTGTGCTCTCCTCCAGCATCTGGCTGGCGGGGAAGCCGTGCAGTCAGGCGGCCCGGCTCGCTGGCAGAGGTGCGAATGTGGGGAGCTGTGTGTATCTGAGAGAAAGAGCGAGTGTGTGTCTGTGCTTGATGCTAAATCTGCATTTTCAGCTCCTCCTCAGCCCCAATTCCACCGGGGCCAGAGGAGAGCACCAGTCTGGGTGACGTGCGCCCGCCACCAGCCAATGAGGGCAGGAGAAGCGGCGGGCCCCTCCCTGGGCCGCCCCGGGCCCGCCCCTGCCCGCCCCCGGCCGGGTCGGTCCGCCTCCGCCGGCGGGGGGCGCGGAGAGGCGAGCCCGCGCCCCCGCCCCTTTCAGCACCCTGGAGAGCTCCTCCACCTCACCACCCGCGCCCGCCGAGCTGCCAGGAAAATCCCCCCAGCTGTAATCTGCTCGGTGCCGCCGGAGTGATGTCATTGTTTGTGGAAATCTGTAAAGCTCTGGAAAGCGAATTACGATGTGTGCCACTCTCTAAGGCCCCGAGGGGAGCTAGGGCACGGGCCTCTCCTTATTCCTCTCCCTCGCTTATTTTCCACTGCAAAACAACTCTCTCACACACACACACGCGAGCGCGAGCGCGCGCGCGCGCGCACACACACACACACACATCAAGACATACTTGCCTCCCCTGCTCTCAATAACAAAGCAAGTATCAACCCCCTCCTGTCACTTTGGGCAAATCTCAGGTGAGGGTTACTCCCCTTCCTGCTAGCACAGGAGGGATTGGGGAAAGCAGCCCTCTTGGGATGACTCACGGGGGCGATAGTACAGGAAGGGGCTTTTCTTTGCTTTTTTTTGTAAGCTCAGGGCAGGTCTGGAATTAAGTGGCTGGGAAGCCTAGCAGGAGATTAGGTTCTCTCCAACCAGCAACTGTGATTAGATGAAACTCCTCCATGAGTGTGGGCTGCTCCGCGGAGACCACCTTCAATAGAGCCGCGGCAGCCGGAATTGACATGACTGGAGGTGCATTCTGAGACTAGGGGACGTTCAGTTGCACAAGGACAGCGAGGGTGTGCATTTGGGAAGGTGTAGTCACCAATCCCAGCTCTCAGCCAAGACTCCAGTAAAGTGTCCTCGACTGGGGTAAATTCAGGCCAAATGGCAGAGGATCAACTAAGCTATCCAGTTAAGAAACGTATACCCACACTCTGTTAACTGCTTACTACTGACTTCAACTGACTTCTTCCTTCCCAACTGAGAGGATGCGGGGACCCAATGTCTGCAACAAAATGAGGGCGACTGTTTTAAAGCAACAATATTGTTGTAAATCATTATTGTTGTAACTCAACAAATGTTGAATTACGGAGTATGTGCAATGATCCCAATTATCATTTAGCTCTAAAGTTCAAAATTCTACCTTACTTGGATAACAGGTAAGAGATCTTTTTTCCTAGAGGCTTAAATGTATGCAAGAGAGAGAGAGAGGTCATACCCACAAACACACACCTACGTTACAGATTTCACCCTTTTTATTTTAGCATGAAGTCAGAATCTACACAAGAAAAACACTGTTAGTAGAAATAAATACACACTTAATGCCATGGGACACGTTGTATTAAGAGCAGAGCTTTTTCCTGACATAGTTGACTCCCCCAGAGATTTCTTTCAAGCATTGCCAAATAAAAGTGTAGGCATTAGCGAAGATTTTAATTAAAGCGTAAGAAATCTGTATGCAATTATTATTATTATTAGCAGTAGTAGTACTTGGATTTCTTTAGGAAAAGCTAAGTGAGGTGCTGAGGTACTAGGACATAGGCTAAAAGTGAAAGGGGCCAGAGATTCTGGGAAAATATTAATAAAAAGGAGCAGCACTGCTCTAGGTTCCTTAGTTTTTTACTGATCAGAGGCTCATTTCTGTTAGGATTTTTTTTTAATCATCCTATCTTACTCCACAACTTACCCCTCATAGTCCATCTGTTTGATTTTAAGCCAAGGTTTTCTTATTCAGAGACCTTCAACTCTTCTTTTCTCTCTTTTCTTTATATTTTGTCCATATTTTAAGTCAAAGTACTAGGCTGGTCTGTATTGTCATTTGAGAAAAATGGCACCAAATGTGAAAATTACATTAGCTGGAGTCACAATCATGGAAAGCATTTCAAAAGCAGTGACAGAGATAAAAATCTAAGTCTTTAGCAAAATAGATCTGAAGAGCATCAAATAAGTCAATTTAGAAGATTATGGGTGTTGGGAAATAGCACTGCTAATGTAGCTAAATCTCTCTGAAAATGAACATGAAATTACCATCTATTCAGAGATATTTATTAATTTTTTCTGAAACCACAGAGCAATACTTCATTTCCTAAATAAATTCCAAAGATGAAATGCTAGTAAATGTTGAACCTTATGTATCTGCATTTTAAATAATTAAAACAATGTAAAATTGGGTACAAGCTAGATAAAGCCTGGATGGCTGTTTAAAATAAGCCATTTTTAGTAGTTTACATAGAATATAGTTCATCATAATATTGTCAGAACAGCATGGCAAATGAAAATAGAATTTTTTGTGATGCAAATGCCAAATTCGTAGTGCATAAAAATCTAGTAAGCAAGTGGAGGAAATGTATCAATATATTGAATTTTTATTTGAAATACAAATACACATCCATGTGCATACACACATTGCTTCTTTTAGATAAATATTTCTAAGCTCCTTTTTTCAAATACCAATAGTAACTTTGGAGCAAGAAGGTGAACAGGAAAGAAAAGGGACATAGAATGCTTAAAGGACTAAAATGGAATTCAGTTGACAGCAACTCTATTGCAGGCTCTGCTGTTACCGGCTCTGCTACTTGGGCCAAACCATTGCTTCTCTCATTGTCTCTGTCTCCTTATCTGTAAAAGGAGACAGTTGGATTAGATACTCTCTCCAGGTCCAAAAGCCCACAGTTTCAGAGAGATGCCAAAGTACAGACTATGATGTAGAAAGCATCATCAATAGCTAGAGAAATGTTGAGGACAGTCATAATTTTCCATAACATTATGGTGGCCAACAGACATATATTTTTATATAACCTCCCCCAAAGAGTCTCATATTTACTTTGTGGATTTGAGGAAAGAATACTTGACACAAACTGGCTGACACTCAGTACCAGACACTAAAACCATGAGCATATTGAAGTTCTTACTAAGACACTGTTGTAGCTGTAGAGAAAACCTGGGTATATGTTCCAGTTCAGATGTGTCACATATCCCGCAGAGTCTCTTTGGAGACCTTCTCCTGCAAAGACCAGACTATTCCCATTTTATGGCTTTGTAACTATAAATCAATAGACTTATGTGTGATTAAAAGAACCCAAACCACCTGAAGTATGATTGGGATCCTCTTATTCAGATGTACTTCCAGGGAGAACTTTGGGCCCAGGGAGCTTCAGGTCAAGGGAAACCCACCACTGGGGAGGAGAGAGAAAGCTAGAAGCAGTCCTAGGAGAGGCTACTGGATCTTGGAATATTCTTTGGATCATTAGGGAAAAGATCTTATGTTTCTATCGATTTCTCTTCAATTGGGTGGGTGCAATCTGAAGGGGACTAAGGCATGTATAACAGAAAATACAATTTAAAATACAGCCTTGTTAAAAATCAGGTTGATCGTTGCCATTTCTGTTACTTTCATTCTGAGCACTCCAAATGCAGTAACAATAACTTCATAGGCACCACAATTGTCTATTCTCATATTGTATTACCAAACCCTTCAAGTAGATTCCTCCTAATGATCCTGCTCTCCCTCTCTCCTTCACCCCAGCCCATAGTCAGGCTTTCTGAAGCATTGGCCACTTTATAGGTTTCTGCCAAATTTTGAGCTCAATATTGATCAAGTTTTTAAAAACTTTCCTCCAGATAATTCTTATTTTCCAAAAATCTCACCTCATTTCCCTGTGGTATTTATCTACATTCTCATATTTGCTGTAACTTAAAATTCAAGCGCTTGGAAAATTATAATTAGTTCCTTGGTATACAACCCACTCCTTCTAAATCATTGGGATTCACTTGGTCCTACTTCCAGTTTCTATAGCTTTTACCACCTTATACCTTTTCCTTAAATGACCTGTCTCTGTTTTTCCTTCAGTAGCAAATTCACAGTTGACTTTTGCTATCTAAGCCATCTTAAATTAGCATAGTGGGGAGGACTCATGGGGCTTTATCAAGTGTTTTATCACAAGGCATTGAATCTAGAATGCTTTCACTTGTATTCATTTTACAACTTCATCCACAAGGCATCACATTTACTCAGACTAATCGACTCTTTTCATAAACAAAAGCTACCCATTGCTTCCTTATTTTCCAGGACGGTAAAAACTTATTTTTTGAGGTAATTTAGGTTCTATTATTTTGATAGAATTTGGAGTAGCTAAACAATGAGGACCAAGGGCCCTTTTAATCTTCTTTGAAAATTAGGCACACATTGCTATTCACTATCTTCAGATTCCTCTTTAGGTCTACAGGACTACAAAATAATGTTTGCTCACTTGGAAAATTAATTAGTTATTTCTCAGGGCTTGTTGGAACATTGCTTATTGTCTGTAGAAAGTGATTACCTATTCATGAATTCTCTACCTTGTGTTATTCCCTTTTTCTTTTATGGTCTTTTAAAAAATTCAGTAAATCTTCCTCAATTCACTTTTTGAATGATTATGGAAATTATCTTTAAGAGGAAGAGTTTTTTGTGCTCCTCAAACTGTCTATAACATAGAAATAATTCAGAAAGAACAAAATACATGGCTTGTTAGAAAATATAAATTGGAATTTGAGAAGTTAAAATTTTTTTGTGTAAAATAAAAGTTCAAACATTAAAATGTATATACTAATTTTTTAAGGCTAACTCTGCCATTGCAATGAAACACCTGATTCTAGGAAAGTCTTTACCTAGACCTAAATTCTTTGGGTAGCTGTCTGCTATTTAGTATTGATTTGGATGACCTCACCCAAGTAGAGAAATTATGTATAATGTTATTTAACACGTAGGAAGAACAACTATAAATTTATGAATGTGCTCTCAAATATCTCATTTTCTATTTCTTGTGAAAATATTCTATTCTTTCAAGGCTTCAGAAACATGACATAGTCTATTTTTAGGAAACTTCATCATACAATATCCATTTTATCTTCTTATGATACTAGAGAAAGTGAACCAAAAACTACACCTCAGAAAC